GATCCATGCGAGATGTTGAGATCATCTATATCTCTGATGCAAACTCGAACATTTTCAAGCATCAAAGAAAACGATCCATGTGAAATGTTGAGATCATCTATCTCTCTGATGCAAACTCGACCATTTTCAAGCTTCAAGGACGACTCGCATGAGGCAAATTTCAATGACTTCACGACCTTGCTTTATGCGACTCAAATGCTTGTACTTGGAGTAAAATAGAATCCCTAAAATATTATTTCCGAAACATTTTCAATGATTCGCACAGCAGTGATTGACAACACAAAATTTGAAGCAAAGTTGCTGTTAAATTAAACGCTACTGTTCTGATGTTTTTCTCTTGGCAAAGCGCACCAATATAGTTATAGAGCCAATATTTATTACTGAACCATTTCGGAAATCAAATTTACCGCGAGCATAAAGTAGCAAATTGAAAATTACTCGCCATAATTATTTCCCAGCAAAACAAAAGATTTGCAGCAAATTAGCCGCAATATTTTTTGCAACCACTGTTCACCTAATTCACTCGCATACAACACTGAATTTAAAATTTTCCATTCCAAATAGAATTTATACGCATACACCCACCTTTGTGCGCCGCAATTGCCGCTTCCCYTTGTACCAGGTGATGATGGCGTTCGGACGTGAACCGGTTGATTCACATATGACTTCGTAGCGACGATCCGCCACCATCGAATTGGGTGGCTCAATTATTTTCACCGTCAGCGGTTTCACTAGAAAAACAAATACGAGCGATAAAAAATCAACAAACAAAGACATCAGCGCAACAAAAACAAATAGTGTAATTGGAAAATGGCACAAAAGTTAGAGCGAGTGCCGGCACTACGTGGCGCAGCTCGCGGAGGCGAAAGAACGAGTGGCGACGCGCTAAACAAACAAGCGGACAAGCGCTTGGCAAATGAGTACAAAGCGGCGAAACGTGGCAGCGCGTATGTATGCATTTATGTATGTACCCCTGTGGCCTTAAAACCTTTAAATGCCGCAATGTTGTGCCACCGCACACATACACACATATATCCACACACACACACATAGAGCTTGCTACGCAAACAAGCATGTGAGTACCTTTGCCTAATTAGAACATCAAAATACGTTAGCATACTTTTAGGTGCAAACGCCAGTGCTGGTGTAGTAGGCGTCTACGTCGCCTGCATATGTGTGTGTATGTGTGCGTRTGTCACTTTATGCTTGTGAACTTTTGTTTATTTTCATTTTGTCAGACTTCGTTTGGCACACATGTGCCGCTAGGCCACGCTCGGGCCAAACTTCGCTCTCCCTCTTAACGCACACATTTGGTGGCCTCTGCTGAGAGCGCCGCTGCGCCAACGGCCACCAACTTCCGACGCCAGTTCGTTTAGTCACGAGCCGCTATAGTTTTGTATCGCCTCCCGTACCGCCTGCCCTGATGCCAAGCACTCAGGTTTGCAATCGAGAAAAAGCAACAAAAAAATAACAAAAAATAGAAGAAGAAGAATAACAACTCGACGAGCAACTTACAATGCATATCAAGCAAAAAGCTTTTCTCCTTAGGCTTATCTAATTGTGTATTCAATGCTTGACAAGTAAAAACGGAATTTAAATCAGTCCGTTGAACCGACGGCCAAAGTAGCCTATTCTCGATAACATCGCCGGAATTGTGTTCGTATTGATTGTCGACAAGTAGTCCATTTACGAGCCAGCGTACTTGAGGTTGAGGGCGACCTGGCGGGTTGGTGATTGTGATGAGAACAAGCATGTTGTTGTTGTAATAGCAGCAGCAGCGGCAGCAGTGGTATGTCGTATGTGTTGTTGTTGTTTTKCAAACGATTGTTACGTTGTGGTTGCAGCAGTCGTTGTGGCAGCAGGCATAGGATAAAAGAAGAAATAGACAGAAAGTACTTCAGTAAGTGGTCCAATAAGTTTATTACAAAGTGGTTGCAAATAAATTAGCTGGTGTGTATCTATGTCGGCCTGTGCGTGTGTGTATGTGTGTGGTAAAGGAATATCTATTTTGTTATGTAGTTTCTGTGTTTGTTTGTTTTTGTAAAGAAAGTTAATCCATTTGCCTGCTCAGCTATTGACAGGAAATTGAATTTTGAATTTAAAGTGTGCGGAACTTCGAAAATATATGGTTTGTAAGTAACAAAAATAATGCCGTTATTTTATGCTAAGAGTACGAAATCCAAAGTAAATAAAAAACAACAAGAAAAAACGAAGYTAACGTTCGGCTGGACCGAAGCTATAATACCCTTCACAATTGATTTTGATCGTTCAGTTTGTATGGAATCTATATGCTATAGTAGTCCGATATAAACA